AAAATATCAGAGCTATAACAGCTTTGAACATATCAAAAAAAAAAAAAGTGAGAGAACATTCTGTGCCCAAATTCTATTTTCTTATCAAAGTTCTATTAAAATGTATATAAATTAAATATCTTTCAAATTATTTCTAAAGCCACATTTTAGTTTTAGACACTCATAAAGATATTAGTATGCAGAATGCCTGAGATATGACTAAAACCTTTCAGTGGATCTACTCTCTGAAAATAGTCATTCTACTTTAAAAATATGGCAAGGTAAACTGTATAATTTGGAAATTTCTAAAGTTTTAAAGCCTGCCGTGCTTTCCAAAATTATATTGGTCTAAGAATACAGCAGTTACATTCACAGAGGATTTTTTTTGAAAAACAGTTGACTTCATAAATTAACATTAAAACAGGATTGTGATTGTGAAGTACATGGGACTGCAATTTGGTAAACAATCTAATGAAGACATTTTGGCAAGGAATGGGATCAAAATTTTGGCCTCTGGAATTCATCTGTTTTACTATTATAGGGGAAAATACACTTAAAGATCTTTTGTTTCCTTTTCTGCTGTCCTTTTTGTGGTTATATTGTATATGTTAGAATGGTATAATCTATGTAGTAAATACTGGAAAATGCATGGCTGATCCACTGCTCCATTTTACTAACATTTATTCAGCATTTGTAACCAGAATTCGCTAATTTTGGGGGATGTCAATGTATTTCTCTCAAGTGTTTTCTCAAGAAAACTTTTTTTTTTTTAATTTTATGAGTTTGAGTGAAAACAAACCAGTTAGATAGAGTATGTACTATCTGGAAAGCAATATAAGATGCAACTTGTGACCTTTAACCTCAACACATTACACATTTTATTTTGCTTTGCTTTAAAAATTGGGGAATGTGAGATATTATTGTTCATAACATTGTTGTGTCTAATGTAGTGGTATATGAATTCCGTGAGTGTTTGAAACAACCACAAAACACTTTTTGTCTCGGTATATATATATAGCCCTTGAAAGAACAACAAGTAATTTATAAATGAGTTGTATTTGGGGGGCATATTGCTTCTTATGCCCACCTTGAATAGAAATGACAGTCATTTATTTGGGAACCCTAACAGCGATGCCATTAAGTTGCTTCCATGTTGCTTAATTTGATATTCTGATGAGACGATGATTGCTGAATGTGTCCTCTCCCCAAATTATTTCCAATGTGAAAACAAATTGGAGGTGTGTTATTGTTATATGTGCTCAGAGCCCAAACCAATGGGTTTACTTAGTAGGAAGACCTCAAATTATCTATTTCCATAATTTCCTCAAAAGTGTACATTTTTTTGTAATCTCAAAATTAACAGTCTTTTCACATTCTTAAAATTGTTTGTAAAGCTGTAAAAAGATGATTGAATTATATTTCCTGTCATTCCTCACATTAAATACGATTACATAAACTAGCTTCTCTTCCCAGCTGCCTCCATATTGGTCTCTTCTGTGTTATTACAGAATCTGTATTTGTACACTCACTATTAATTTCCAAAGAAATAATTACAACATTAAAAATATAATTTGAATAACATGATTAAAATAAGTAGCCCCATATTTCTCTCAGTTCTATATTATACACCTCCCCACATCACACGTGAATGTAGCAGGTACTTAATATGCATATCATAGAAGAAAATTATTTCTCCACTGTCACAAGGACACTGAAAAGTGACATACACGAAAGGGGTGTGAGGTTATATTTAAAATGTTTAGTGAAACTCTTTGAACATTTCTGTAAGCAGACAAGAGCTAAAGATTGGCTGAATTGAGAGGCATTCTGAACTAGCATTATAGCAAAATGTAAAAGAGAAAATCAGGGAAGTCTTCTGAGAATAGTTCCATAAGAATATAATTAACGTGTCATACTTTCTGATGCCTGGGGAGATTATAAGAGATATTCAAAACTCACTTCAATAGCTCAGTGTATGGAGCTAAGTCATCTTTTAATACCCATAAAGCACTGCCTCTGGAAAGGTGACTTCCTTCACCCACTCCAATACCTAAGCAATGTATCTTTGAACAGTTCCATTGAGAAACCATCAGGGAAATTGTTAATTATGGCTTTGCCCCTGTCTTCAAAAAAAACTCAAGCCCCTGTACATTTGATTCTGTACCCCCATTACATCCAGCTTAAACACACGTACATCTCATATGATCTCTCCTCCGTGAGCTCTACCTAAGGCATCCCTCCATTATAATGTTAACAGGAGAAGGTATCATCTTCTGCCAAGCAAGGGAGTCCTACTAATTGGCTTCTTTGGTAACCCCAAACCTTAGACTACTTGAAATATCCAGCATGAGGTCACTGAAAATGGCAGAGGAAGTACCTCCAAAAGTGATTCTCAAAGCACTAAAAAACACAAAATTTGTCAGTTAAGTGTTTCAAACTTTTGGGAAATAAAGGTTTGCAGCAACCCACAGAGAAAAATGAAAGTACTGTGAGTTCTTAGGTATTTTAACTTCCCTAGTCCCATTTCCCAGTTCCACTGTAGACTTGAACAAGTAAGAGCCTGCAGTTCTGGTGCAGCTTAACATCTCTAGAGGAAGCATAACACAAATGGAGATCTTTCAAAGCTTCATTCCAAAATAGTTGTCATTATTTGATAAGTCTAGTGGTTCCCTAAAGGGTCCTACTTACAAAATATTTTATATTGACTTTGCTGACAACTCACTCAGTGAGACAAAACTTCTGCCTGTAGGTAATTTGGTGAAAACAATTACAAGTGTTTTAATTTTGTGACTCCCTGAGGTGATGAATAGCTGGTGGGTCAAAAAATAGAACCAAACTCACTGCAATGTTATAGGAGAGGGAAGAATTGCCCCATAGCAAGGCAGTAAATCTTTACAGAAGCAGACTGCCTCTTCTTGCTCCCACAAAGAGGCTGGTGGGTTTGAATTGCTGACCTTTTGGTTAGCAGCCCAGTGCTTCAACCACAGCACCACCAGAGTTCTAATAGAC